GCTGTGCTAGCCAATACAGTAACCACCAGCCACAGGTGGCTAAGTCAATTAGAATTACATCAAGTTAAAAACCCATTCCTCAGTTACACTAACCGCATTTCAAGTGCTCAGTTGCCACATGTGGCTAGTGGCTACTGTAGTGAGCAGGCAGGTCGAGGCCATTTCTGTCTGTTGGACAGCACTGCTGGAGAACTAAGCTGGCTTAGCAGTCACAGCCCCAGCTTTGCTGGCGTGACCTTTGCCTTCCTGGGCAAAGGACGGGGTAGGGGAGGGCTGATTACGCCCTAGCTCGGAGCCTGTTACCCATGACCTTCCCTTCCAGAGAGGAGGGCTTGGTGGCCTCGCCTGAGTAGGCTGCATCTTCTGACCCCACTGGCTGGGGTGGGGGGAATCAGCCTCACTTCCTGAACCCTTCACCCCCACAACCCAGGGTTCCCAGCTGGCTGGGTCCTCTTCTCCATCCCCCACCCACCCATCCCCAGGTCCTTTCCTCTGGCTGTGTTGGATGTGAGCACCTCTTGTAGCCCTTCACACTGTTGTCTGTTACTGACTTTTTGATAAAGAGATAATAAAACCTGATACTTTCTAGATCTCCTGTCTCTGTGGTTTTAAAGTTCATAAGAAGTTCTCTCCGGGCTGTTTCCCTTGGCTTCAGTGGAGCTTGAGAGGACTGCCCTGCCCAAATGCCCTTTGGGGAGGCAGACAGTGGAGGCAGAGATGTGGGAAGCCAGGAAAGGCCTGGAGAAGATGGAAGAAGTGGGAGTGTGCGCCCGGTGGCCTGCAGGGCACGCACGCTTACCTCTGTGTTGCATAGATGGTACCGTGTTTAACAAACACACAGAAGTCCTTGATTAGTTGCCAACTAGAAATGAGGCCATTTCCTATAAAAATCCAGGTTCCTCACTTCTCTTGGGGGAAAACGATTTGACAACTCTCAGGCAGCATGGCAACAATTAGCTGCAGCAGGCAGGAGCCCACCTACACGTGGCTTCTCCACCTCGACACAGACTGTCCACCAGCTTCGCTCACGTCGTCAGCTTGGCCTCAGCGGGCATTGTAACTGGCGGACTCTAGACAATTCTTTTGATCCCTCATCCTCACAGCAACGCTGGGAGGTGGGTAAGATCCTTTTTACCTAGCAGACCACCAGCAAGTCCATTCTGTGCTTAACACCTGAACTCACTTAATCGTCACAATTCCGCACAGTAAGGTCCTGTTAGCACCCCCATTTTACAGGTGAGGAAACTAGCTAAGAGGTTAAATAACTCGCCCACATTGACACACCTACCAATGGATCAGACCCTGGCTGGTGGGCTCCAGAGTGCTCACAATCACACTATCCAAGGGTTTGGGTCAGGGTCCCTTCACCGGGGCTGCTCAGGCCCCACAAACCCCCCTCTGAAGCAAGGAGTCTGGTCTCAAAGCTCTTCTGAGACCCCTGCCACACTTGGCTTTCCTGAGCCCCAGGAGGCTTGAGGGGTCTCTGCTCCTTGTAACTGGAGTCTTGGAAAAGCCCTCACATCTGTTCCATTGGTGGTGTCCAAACTGCCTGCTCGTTTTGAGTCATTAGGGGTTTGGGGATGAGCTTGGTAGAGTGGTCCCCACTTCAACACTTTATAACCAAAGTGAGTCCATAAGGAGTTTGGTCCCAAGGTCATGCCTTTCTCCAGGACTTTGCCTGCTCCTCCCATCCCCCACCCCTGCCCCAGGTGGCGAGCAGCCAGTTACAGCAGGTGTTTACCACTTCACCACTGAAAGCATTATTGTGTCACCGCTGCCCTGCCTGCCTTTGTCAATTGGGGCCTGGAACAGAGCCAAGCCTTACCGTGGGGCCCTTTTTGGTGAGTGTGGTCAATGTTGACCCTTGCAAAACTTATTATTGTGTTATTGGTTTCATTCCCCTTAAAGCCACTTCCTCTCTCTCTTACCATCTTCATGGTCTATTGCCTGAGCAGTCCACATCCTCCCCAGGGAGGAAGGTCCCTGAGAATTTCACCCACACCATGGTTATGAGTTCTCTTTGAGGAAACCCAATTTAAACAAGAGAGAAAGCAAGAGACCCAAAGGTCCATGCTTAAGCCAGAAAGTTAGTTTGTTCATGGTGGAACCTCAGGCAGCATGAAAGCTGGTCAATTGGGAGATTTTGGAACAAATTTTTAACCTTATTCTCACTATGTGCCCTGCCGCCTGCTTTCTGCCCCTTGTAACCCCCAACTCCCCCCTACAGCTAGAAGCAAACTAAAAGTATTAAATACTCTTAGGTAGAGAATTAAAAGGACCTCAGAGCACCAGACTTAGCATCCGTAGTATAGGATTCAAATCAGGCTCTGTCCTCAAACCTGCTCTGAGAACTCCATGGGCCTTCTCTCTCAGAGCCTCAGTTTCCCCATCTATAAAAATGAGGAGGAAATGTGAATGGGAGCAATGTTTCTCAACCCTGGAAGGTTCTGATCCTGAGAGCTTGAAAAAGTGAAGATTAACTTGAGGAAAACTCAATTCTCAGGAAGGGAACAGTGCCACCTGCCGATTTCACTTTGCACTTGCAATCTCCAGATAACTGCCAATGCAATGGAATGCAATTTGGTATTTATTGAGCCCAACTCAATAATCAAGCATTGTACTGCGCCCTCCAGGATATGCAGCGATGAGCTTTCCACTTGAAGCTCATCGTCTATAGGAGACACTTGAAATGTACATAAAGCCCTTTATTCCAAGGGGGACATGGTCCCAAGTGAGGTGTTCCACAAGGTGGAAAGCCTGAAACCAGGGCCTGCTTTATGGTCATGTGACGTGTCCAGTCACAATAGGCCTTGTGCCTAGCAGGGCCCAGCCTTGATTTCAGGCTCTGCCGTCGCTGTCTTGAAATCCTGAATAATTTTGGCACAAGGGGCATACATTTTTTTTGCACCGGGCCCTACACATTGTGTAGCCGATCCTGCCTTGGGGAAATCTTGGAGGTGGTGCCATCTGAGCTGGGTTTGGAGAACGGGGTGGTAGTGGCAGGAGAGGAAAGGAGGAAACCTATTTTAGTGTGGAAGAAGGGGTGGAGTCAGTCCTGAGACCTTGGAAACTGGGTGATGAGGGGGAGGAGATAAAAGATGAAGGGCTATGTGGGGAGTGGGCAGGGAGGGGAGTTTGATGTTCCATGGATTCAGGCTCAGGCTAGGAGGACCTCCAAGGACAGCCCAGCAGCTGGAACTCAGGCTAGGGCTGGAACTTTGCGGTCATAGACTTCCAGGAGGGTGTGCGGGTGAGACCAAGCGTTCTAGGGTGCCCTGAGGCAAGCTGCACGGCTGGGCCAGGGCTCTCAGGCCAACCTAGGTTCTTGGCTTCCACCATGCCTGCCTGTGGAGTGGCAGAGGAAGTCCTTGAGGGCAGGGCTGGATGGGCCCTTGAGCCCCAACTTCCTGTGTGGTGGGCTGCGACACTCCTCTTAGCCTCCTCCGAGTGGCTTCCTGCTTCAACACCATCGCAGGCACGGAGCCCAAGCTCTCCTGAGGTGTGCACTCAAGTCGGGGACATTTCCCATTCGACTTGTGCCCTGCATTCCTTGGCCAGGATTTGCTCTCGGCGGCCACGAGAGGCCTTGAACAAGCTGCTCCTTCCCTGTGACAGGGGGTTCACCCTGCTGATCGAGGCCCTGGGGCGTCTAAAGAGCAAACCTCTTGGGAAGGGTCAGCATCTTCTTTCTCACGGGGCTTTCCATGTTCTGAGGGAGGAGTTCTGCAGGAAATGAGCCCCTCCTCAGAGTTCAAGGAAAGTTCAGGTGGGGTTGGGGGGAGGGAGGTGAGAACCCTGAACCAACATTTCAGACTGGTTCTCTCCGTTTGGCACCATGAGGAGCTAGTGCAGGTCGCTGGCACCTGTGATATGTGTGCCTGGTTCCAACAGCCAGAGTCAGGACCCTGCCTGATTCTTCTGCTTCCCTGGAGAGCACAGAGCAGGCAGAGGGTGGACAGGCTGCGTAGGGACGGCCTGTGACTTGGTCTCCGGGCCCCATGCAGAGAAGCTTCTCTGGCAGCTGGGGTACTGCCCAGTTGATCTCAGGTGTGTCTGGAGTTGTCCTGGGAAAGTTTTATTCTGTCCTGTGTTCCCCTCTGTGTCTGGGGCGCATCTTTGCTTGGGGTGGGGGAGGGGTAATTCATTGCCAGAGTGGACAGGTGGCCTCCATGGCAGGCAGAGGGTCAGGGCTGCTGGCTTCTTCTCTAGAAAGGGCCCACAGGACAGGCTATCTGCTCACGGCACCGTGTTTCCTCCTGTGTGTGTGTCGGGGTGGGGGGGGGAGTACACTGGGCACCCCTCTCCTTGTGCAGGTGGGTCATACAGATTAGAGTCTCACTTGGAATGGGGGGGGCGTGCTGCTAGCACAGCAGAGTAACCCCTGACCCTCAGGACCGCATCTTATTGGGCCTACAAGAGAAGTGCCTGTGTGGATAGTTAAGATGGCAAGACCTTCCCAATGCCCCGGCACCTGCCCAACCACTAAAGATGTGAGCCAAAGAGGAAACACAGGCAAGGGCACTGCGCCTGCCTCCAGCCATAGGGAGTACAAGGAAGGGCAGGTCTTCGTGTTCCAGGGTAGAACCCGGGGCTCCAGGTGGGACCCGGGGGCGCCAGGTGGTACTTGACACTCCCGACAGATCTCATACTCCGATCAGGACCCGTGCTCCCGGGTCTGTAGGCCAGGCCTGGGCGTGAGAAACGATGTGAGACACAGAGACAGAGAAAGACAAAGATGGAGCGACAGGGCACACAGACAGACATCTATAAAGTTACTGAAGGAGAGAGATTGATTTAGAGAGTGAAACGGAGACAGAGGCGGGAGAGCCACACTCTGAGTGCACGCAAAGAGCATCTTCCTAGATGTCAAAGGAGGAGCAGCTGCTCGGGGAGGACCCGCAGGGCCGGAGTCCATGGCGAGAGCCTCTGCGGCTGCTGGACTGGGCCTTCCCTCGCATCCGGCAAATTGGGCCGAGGGCCGGGCGGGGCAGCCGGGGCGCCTAGGTCTGGATGAAGAGGTGGAAGTTGGTGCGCGTGAACTCGCGGTGAATGCTCTCCAGCTCGCGCACCAGGCTCACCGCCACCGTGATGGGTGTGCGCAGCCAGCGCCAGTCGCTGCCGAAGGCGGCCACCACCGGCACCACGCACACCAGGGACCGCGGGCTCCTGGGGCGGGGCGCGGGGGTCGGGCTGCGGTGACATCCGGGAGGGCTGATGACAAGCACCCTCCTCTCCCCTTCCCGGTGCCCAAGGAGGCCCCCCCGCCCATACCTGTACATGGTCTCGGCCTCCACGTCCCCGAACCACACCTTGAGCCCCGCGTGGAAGTTCTCACCGTGGAGCTCCAGCGTGGCCACGTCACCCCCACCACTCAGCTAGGAGAGGGGGGGACCGGGAGGTGTGGGGGAAGGGGTGGCCACAGGCCTGCTGCCCTCCCTCCCAGCGCCTCATCCGCCAGCGCAGACGGCCCACCAGAGTCCTCCTCCCCCGCACCCTCACCCCCATTCACCTCGAGGGTGCTGATGAGTGGCACCGGGGTGACCGGCTCCCGGGTGCACGCCAGGCTGGTGCTGAAGGAGAATTCCACCGACTCGGTGCCTATGATGGTCCAGCAAGAGCTGTCGTTGAGCAACGCCCTATTCGCCTCCTTGGGGCAGGGGGAGGCCTGAGCGGAGACGCGAGGGGAGGGGCAGGAGCTCTGGTTGGCGGGGCCTGGGCTTCAGCCCCAGGCGCTGCGGTTTACCTGCCCTTGGAGCTTGGACAAGGCCCCTCAGTTCTCCCAGAGTTAAATAAGTTCGCCTATTTTGTTAGGATTCTAGAATTCTATGTTAACGCTGCAATGCTGTGCCCTAACATTCTACAGTTCTATGACTTGCAATCTTATGATTCGAATGGACTTTGCTCAATAATACTCAATACTCTTGTTGTTTTTATTTACAGTCTACAATTTTATATTCCAACCTTCTATGACTCTAATAGTCTTTGGGAAGGAGTACTGCTCAGTAATATTATTTTTTTACACATTCTCTGAGTCTGTCTCCATAGTCTCTGGTTCTGGCATTCCCTGGGAGCAAGTAGAGCTCATTATGACGATGATGGTCTTACATGCTGTGTGTGGTTCTCTGCATTCTGACTTTCTAAGATGCTTGGTGCTGATAATCTCTACTCCTCACCTGGAACTGCACCACCTTCTCTGTGGCGAGACACAGGTAGGTGCCGCCGCCTCCAGGAGGGCCCCCAGGAAACTGGAGTGCACACTTGTGCAGCTGGGAGATGGGCTCGTCCACGTCGAGGAGTGCACACTGTTTGGCTACTTTGCGGATGATCTACAACAAAAAGGTGACAGGAAGTGTGACAGCCAGGTGCCTGGGTGCCGGATGCTCAC